CCCCCATCTCACACACACTGCCCACCCCACCTACCACAGTGCCCACCCCACCTAACAGAGTGTTAGTGAGAAACTCTGGGGAAGGATGTGAAAACTCTCTGAAAAGTGTACAGTTGGGAGCAGACAAGAAGGCTCAGAAGTAGAGGCTCTTGCAGTGAAGGCAGATGCTGTGAATTTGGTCTCTAGGACCTGCATGGTGGAATAAAAGAACCAACTCCAGCAAGTTTGCCTTCTGACCTATACACACACACACACGCACACACACACACACGCATACACACGCCCCTAATATGTGCATGTTTGGGGAAACACTTCTCAGCATACTGACAAAAAGGCCAGTTCCTTTAAATGTTACTCCAGGCTACCGTCCTAGCGTCCCACAGGGCCCCACTCTTAGAGAGGGTCACCTTGGGTCTGTGTGTTAAACATAAGGTTCTTCAGGGTCACACTCCCCATAATAGGACTGTTCTGTTGTTTCCTGCTCTGTCATCAGCATCCTCGAGGACCCGAAAAGCACCAGCCTTTGTTTTCTCACACAAAGTTGCTATGGAGACACTGTGTGCATCTGTCTCTAGAGACCCACAAAACAGCAGGAGCCATGAGCCTCAGGATAAAAAAGAAAAAGTGTTCTTCCAGAATGTTCAGTACTGCTAGTCTCCTGCAGAGCGTGTGGGTCATGCCCTGGGGACGGTGTGGTCCAGTCTGGGGTGGCAGGACACTGGAGACACTGGAGACACTGGAGACACTGGAGACACTGGAGACACTGGAGCACCTACTCTGGCTCGTCCCACTTTGTGACTTTGGACAAGCCCTTTCTTCTCCTCGCCGACCTCAGTTTACCCCTCTGTAAAGTGGAGCCCTGGAAAGACACCCTAGCCAGCAGCCCCCGTTGGGTGTTTGGCATGTTTAGACCTCATCAGTAGCAGACAGTGTCCTGAGGGAAATCTTGTGGATGGGAAAACCAAGCTGAGTGGAACCAGCAGGGAGTGGTGAAGTCTGTGGCAAAATGAAGCCCGGCCAAAAAAAGAGGGCTGACTCTCGTCACAGCAGGCTTCCTTATTTTCAACAAAAGTCAAACACTAGGTTTTTTTTTTCTATAAAAGTCTCCAAATTTGTAAAACAAACAAAACCTTGGATAGTTAAATGTATCTCCCCATGGCACCCAATCCCTGCTTCTTAGAAAGCATAAGGATTCACTCAGGGGAAACTTCCCCCTTTAAAAAAAAGAAAAAGAAAATCCCCAAAAGGGAGGAAGGGAGGGAGGAAGGGAGGGAGGGAG